GCGCCCCCAGCCCGGCCCTCCGCGTCAGCCGCGGCTCCGCGCCGCCCCGCCCCGCCGCGGTCCCGCCCCCTCCCCTCCTCCGCCGCGCGTCAGCCGGGGGTCCCCGGGCGGCCGCACACTCCTCTTCCCCACCTGGGTCCCCAGCTCCTCCCCTCAAAGAGGGGTCCCCACCACGTGGTGTCCTTCCGGTCGCCAGCCCTCCCCTCTTCCCGGGGTCCCCAAGCCCAAGGTGCCTTCCCCTTCCTCACCTAGGTTCCAAGCTCCTCCCCTTAGCCGGGGGTCCCCTTACCCGCTGGGCCCTTCCCTTCTTCACCAGGGTCTGCGCTCCCGCCTGCAAACGGAGGACGACTCTCGCCAGTCACCTCTTCATTCTCCTCAGCCCTGAGGGCCTACCTCCCCAGGAGGCCCGCCTCCGCTCCCTTTGAGGTTCCCCCCTCTCCTCCTCAGCCTTGGACCCTCTCTCCTGCAGTGCCCTTTCCCCGCCTCCAGCCCACCCCTCCCTCTTCACTCCCCAGGGTCCCCAAGGCACCCTTGGCTCCTTTGTTCTATATCTGCCTCTTCTGCGACTTTGGGAAGGTGGCCCTGGTGGCCACGGGAAAGTCAGAACTGCTCTCCGGCTGAGCGGGACCCAGTCAAGGAGAGCATGAAGGTCCCCAAGACCATATGATGAGTCTGGCAGAGCCCACAATCACCTGCAGGACAGGGATTGGGAAGGCCTTGAAACGGGAGCCAGGATGTTTGGAGAGGATTTATATTGATAGTTCTTAGACTCTGCCATTTCAAAGTCCGGACCCCAGCCTTTGAAAGGTGCATCCGGAGGACAACAGGTCCAATGGACAAAAGTGGGGCCAGAGAGGCACCCCCTGCGCCCCCATCCCCTCCACTCCCCACAACTTCTCCAAGAATGTACAGAACCAGAGCAGGAAGGTGGTGGTGATTTAGTAGAAGTCTCTTGGATCTTAGCATTCGAGTTCCCTTTTCAGCACCCGAGTGATTCACAGCATGCAAGAGTCTGAAAGACCACATAGCTCTCCATAAGGCTGAGGTGCGGGGAATGCCATACAGCAGGATGTCTGTATGCAGCTTCAAGCTAACGCAATACACAAAGAATTAAATTTAAGGGCAGCTTAGGTGGGAGAGAACTTACTTGCAACTAAAAAGAGGGAAAAAAAAAATCCAACAAGATTTTAATGTTATAACACTTGAATTTAAGAGACAAGGTCAAATACAGGTAGTTGTAACCTGGAAATTGTGTCTATTTCTTTTCCTGTTGTGATAAGGAAAGGGGGTTTCTCTGGCTTGGCTCAAGGGCACAGAACCAGTAGTCACATCACACCCAATCAGGTTACAGAGAGTGATGACAAAAGCACTCAGCTCACTTTTTCCTTCCTGTGTGGTCCAGTATCCCGTCCCAGACAACGGTGCTACCCACAGTGACCCTGTTCCCACCTCAATCTAATCAAGCTGTTCCACAGCATGTTTACCAACTAAACCTAGACAATCCCTCACAGGTGTTCTAGACGGTTCTAGATTCTCATCCAGTACTGAGATTAAGTACCACATGTTTCAAGATAACAATTTTGAAAACAGGATATATGTTCAGGTTCATCCTTTATTCTCATTTGGTTTGAGAACAGGGCAAATAAAAAGGGAGGAGTTAAAGACAAAGGAGACACTGATATATGGAAAAGACAAGGATTTAGAGTTCAGACTTCAGTTTAAACCCCAGCTTTGGAGAATGAGGAATTTAGATAAGAAGACACTAACTTTAAGCTTAGGGATTCAAAGGAACAAATACAAAATATTAAAACATCATCTAAAGTGCATCTGCTCTTATACTTTTTCCAAAATGTAACTTGCATCTACATTTTTTGAGACTTCAGCTTAATTTCCTATAGCAAGTTCTAATTTTATGTTCTGAGACAAACTCTCAGACTTGGCTGTTCCGGTACTCTGTAGAGCAGGCTGACTCAGAACCCAGTATGTAGAGCGGCTGGAGTAGAAAGCACAGAAATTCACCCCTGGCTGTCCTAATTTTCTTAAACCTAAAAAGAACGACTACCCCTCAATATTGGAATCTGTAAGAATTCAGACCTACCTCTTCTACTACTTTAGAAAACATACTGTTATTAATATAACTGGTTTTTTGCTTGTTCGTTGTTAAGATAACACGAGGCTCACAAATCTGTTTATGTCATTTATTTTGAAGAGGGGGTGTGTGTGAAACTGTTTTGGTCCTGAGCTATTCACAATAGAGTGCAAATACCAAAACCAATGCCACGTAAGACTCTGTTTCATGTTTAGCTTCTACCCAGCTGTCCCATGCCACATCCCAGATCCATCTGCTGGCAATCTGTGAGAGAAAATTTAAAAGACTCAGATGGAATGTGTTAAGTAACTTTTAAATTACAATAGTTTGGTCTTTTAAATAGTGTGTCAGTGTCTCAGAAAGTTGTGTTTGAGAAATAATTTGTTAGACTAAGTGGGGTAACTTAAGTGACAACACACCTCTCAAAGCCCTGGGATCCATCCTAGCACTACAAGAAAAGTTAAGAAGGTGGAGATGGCTCAGCAGTTAACAGCATGCATTGTGTTTCCAGAAGACACAGTTCACAGCACCCACATCAGATGGCTTACAACTACCTGTCACCTCTGGCCAACTCAGGTACCTGAACTCATGCACACAACTCTCCCACCCTTACAAACACACACACATACATGATAAAAAAATATTTTTAAAAGATCTGTCCAATTTTCACTTTTATGAAATGACTCAGGAGTGATACTGCTCAGCTGCCTTCTTTACCGGAGGCTGGTAGTTGCCTTATGGTGAGTCCCAGGCAGGATGAGGCCTAGTAGCTCTGCCTATAGAACCAGTATAACATGTTCCAGACCATGGTAAGGAATCCTTCTTGCCACATTTAAAAACCTCTAGCCAAAAGCCATGTTAGGATCTTGTCTGGCAGCAGTAATGCTGACTATGCAAATAGGCCATGACTTCTTTGTGATGCCTGCAACGACAAGCTGTACTATCTGTGATGGATCCAAAGTGGCCACAGATTCCTTGTGGGCCCTCCTGGAAGAACACTGCCTCACCCCTCAAAAGTGCCCTTCTGACTTGCACTGAGTAACAGAATTGTACAGTTCTGGGTAAACATTGTACAGTTTAGGCAAAGCATAAGAGGTCTTGTAGTTTCTGGCCTCACTTTTGTGGAATGCTGTGCTGATATTCCTATATGGGGAAGATTGGTACACAGAAGGAGGATGGTAGGGAAACCCAGTACCCAAATGGAGCCAGCATTGCTGTCAGGCAAGGACGAGGTCATCTGGGATCTTTAGGTACAGCTGAGTCACCAGTAGTTATAGCACATAAGACTTGGAGTACACAGCTGGTTACAGGCCGAGCAGCCTCACAGAATGGTGACAGAGAAGCTCTTATTTTTATTTTATATACATTGGTGTTTTTGCCTGCATTTGTGTCTGTGGGTGTTAGATCTTAGAGTTACAGACAGTTGTGAGCTGCCGTGTGGGTGCTGAGAATTGAACCCAGCTCTTCTGGAAGAGCAGCCAGTGCTCTTAGCCACTGAGCCATCTCTCCAGCCCTTGGATATTGTTGTTTAAGATCCTAACCAGATAATTTGGTGTTCAGTCACACTGCCAGTATTACACATGTCTATTCCCCATCTGCTCATCCTTGCTGTTATACCTCTGCTGAAACATTCCCTCTGACTTGGCACAGCTGGTTTCTTTCACCTGCAATCAGCCTGCCCTTGTCTAGGAAGTCCCAACAGCTGCTCTGGGACATCACCCCTACTCAATTTTTTTTCGATAGAGAACTTAGTGATAGCAAATAGGAGAGACACATAAGAACATTGTTATATTCTGTATTATAAAGCCACATTTTGCTCCATACTGTAAAAATAAATCTATGCTTATTAAGTTTCAAATGTATATATACACTGTTGGCTTGTTGTCAGGTAACTATTCCCCAACCCAGCTTAGAAGCCCTCACTGGTATGCAAGGTTAATACCAAAGACATTGCCATTACAAGTGTCAGAAATGTGGCTTGAGGAAAGACTGAATTCTGGAGTGACTGATCGCCTTTGCCCCTGCCCTTCTCCATATGTAATCTGATGTCTGAGATGGAAGGTGGCCTTTAGGGGTTAACCCATTGTCCTCTCTGAATAAAGTACAACTTAAAGATTCAATTCCAGTCTCTTCTTGTTGTCCTTTGTAGTAGCAAGCATCGTGAAGCCTGCTAGTCAGTCACAGTGCAACACATGAAGGAGCTGCTTAACAGCTTGCTTAGCACCCAGAACCACCATTCCAGGGCTGGCCCCATCCACAATGCTGGAGTCTCCCACATCAATCAATAAGAAAATGCCCTACAGGATTGCCTATAGTCCAAACTTATGGAGGCAGTTTTCCAACTGAAGTTCCTTCCTCTCAGATGACTCTAGCTTTTGTCAAGTTGACATAGCCAGCACAATTGACCCTTGTCTACTTGACACATAAACAGATTATTGTTGAGCCATAACCTTTCCTTTCTTGTTCATCTCTAAAAATCTACATTAATACCAACATCACAATTTTTCATTACCTAGCATGCCGAGATAAAACGTACTGGGTAATTAATTAATATTTATTTATTTTGATGTTTTTGAGACAGTCTCACTATATAGCTCTGGAACTCGCTATGTAGAGAAAGATGGCCTTGAACTCACAGAGATCCACCTGCCTCAACTCCCCAACTGCTGGAAATAAAAGTATGTGCCACTACACAGGGCTTACTGATTAATTAACTTAAATGATATTTAAAATTTCAAAATTAGTAAGACCAAGTACAGGCTACATAATCTAGTAAATTATTAAAAAATTGTATCCCTAGGCCAGTACTTTTCAAATAATTTGCAATGAAAAAAAAACCCAAATTTTTAACAAAATGATCTTTGCATTCAAGAGGCCCTTCAGAATCTCTAAGTCCCTTGGGACACCTGAAAGCTCAAGTGAACAGATGTTATGTCGTCATTGGGGCACTTACATTTATTGCTTGACCAGTCTTTTGAATAAATAATACTTTTATAATGAATTTATAACGATGGAACCCAAATTCTTTGACTGCTGACAATACTTGATCTGCCAATTCAAGTGACAAATGAGAGAAGGCTTTATCATCATATTTGACATCTTTAAGAGTTTCCTTTAAAAAAAATTAAGAAAAATGTTTCAATTTTCAAACTGAATGTTTTTTATAAGTAGAAAGCATATATCTAAATAATACACAACTGTTTTAAAAATATACATTTTCCTGAAAATATCATACATTTATACTTACCAATTTATTTTCAATAACAATTTTGGAAAAATTGTTTTCAAAATTATGTTCAACTATCAAAAGCCACATTTGGCAGCACATGCCTTTTATTCCAGAACACAGGAGGCAAATGGCTCCCTGTAGTTCTAGGCAAGCCTGGCCTAGAGTTCTGGGCCAACCAAAGCCACAATATTGAGACCCGGTTTCAAAAAAGCTCAGTTCAATTGCCCTTCATTATCAACACTTGAGCCATAAGCATCTGCTGTTGAGGCTACCCTGTCAACCTGTTGTAAAGAACCCAGTTTCCGTTTCTCACTAGAGACACAAGAGAATTTCAAAACATTTTTGGAAATTCACAGTAAAAGAAGGAAACCTTTTGTGTTTATGTCTATGCTAAAATCTGTGTTGAGTTTCCCAAATGTCTGTTACATCTGGGCCCAGAACTGGCTTTATGTCGCCATTGCCTTCTCTGGGCCCTTGAATCAAAGATTACTTCTCTCTCTCTTACTCCTCATGACAACAATGACTCATCATATTTACTAACAAACTAACACATCTGAGAGAGACATGGCTCACAGACCATGAAGCAGAAGCCTTTCTTTTTTTATTTTTTTAATTTTTATTTATTCAGAAGCCTTTCTTAAAAAAATAAAAATCAGACTCACTTAAATGTATGAATGTTTCACTTGCATATATGTCTGTGCAACACATGTGTGCCTGGTGCGGGTGGAGGCCAGGAGAGGGCGTTGGATCTCCCAGAACTGGAATTGTAAATGGTTGAGCCACCATGTGGGTTCCCTGGAAAACCTGGAAAACAGCGGCAGTGTTCTCTACCGCTGAGCCATCTCTTCATCCCAGGAGCTTTTCTTACATTATGTAGGCAAAGCTAGGCCGATGAAAGCGCTGACGGCTAACAAAGCCTTTGATTAACTGGCTTTCTGGAGTGCATCCAGGACCATGGACTGAGTCCCGGTGTTAAGTAACTCCTATCAGTCAGTTTCACGGGCATGTAAAAGCAAGCAAATGTCCTCCCTCCATCCTCCTGCTCCCTGCTGGTTCTACCCCTTTCTTCTCTTCTCCTTCCCAACTTCTCCTATTGGCTCCCTGATAGGTTCCTTCCAAATATGCAGCTCCTTTAAGGCCTGTATTTGGTCTTGGGTCTATCTTTCCCAATACTCAATATCATCTGCTTTCTTCTGAATCTAATAGAATTCACAGTCAGTTTTCTCTGAGAGTAAACCCAGCCCATTGCTTATCTGTCTAGGAGTCTCTCCAACTCCACATACTAACTGTAGCTTGCCTTTAGGACCCTAGGGTGGCTTCTGTAAGTGAGGCTCATCCCCAGGCCAGCTATTCAATTTTGTTTAATTTCATTTATATGACAGGGTCAAGTGAGAGACCAAAGGTATACACTCTTAGATCACACATACTATTAGTGTTGATCAAAACTTTCCCCCAAACTGGAAGCTATAATGTTTTTGTCAAATATCAATTATTTTGAAATAATAAAAGGAGGAGAGATGGAAGGTAGTAGGGAATACCACACCTTAAAATATGCTGCTTTCTCATATTATTTTGACCCAAAAACACTTGAAAAAATTGTGGATGCAGTAGCCTGGCCTTCCTTATGCTTCCTGAAAGCAGGAGATAAAACTGGAGTTCCTCTCCAGTAGAGATGGAAGAGAAGGCAGAACACACCACTTCTTCAAGGCCTTGCTTTCCTAGGCACCTTTCTAGGACTACCTGCCATGGCTCAAACACCTTTATTCATGCTTTCAAATTTTCTAATGTGTGTCCCAACTAGTGCACAGGAGCTTGACTCTGCCTTTCACTTTTGTTTTTCTCCTTAAGTCTTCCATGTATAGGTAGAAGTTACTAAAGTGTGTTTTTCTCTAGATTTGGCTTATACCAGTTTATGTTATAGGTGAAGTGGAAACCTAAAAGGAGATGGAACTCCTTTTACATCTGAGGTGCTGAAGCTGCTGGAAGTCAAATGCTGACCTCAGCACACAGATGCAAGCTGAGCTCCTGCTCATACAGGTTGAGAATGGTACCCGTCAGTTGATCAGTGGGGTGTGAGTGCAAGTCCATTTCGCATGTCACACACCAGGTTCTCCAAACCCATCCTGAGCCAGCTACAGAGGTTTGAATAGCTACACTAGGTAGCTACTAAAGCTGGCAGCATATTCACACTGATTCCTTGACCTGTGGAGTAGGTATTTTTATTGAAGAAAACCCATAATGGAAGCATTTAGAATTGCCTCTACCTTATTCAACAATGGCGTAATCCCTATGAAGGGATTCTCTGAATGATGTAATCCCTATGAAGGGATTCTCTGAATGGTGTAATCCCTATGAAGGGATTCTATAAATCACTGCCACTGTGATTATTACCACAGCTTCCTTCAATGCATCTATTTGGTCTGTTCAGAGGAGACAGATATAGATAAAGAACTTAAGCTTAGCCAGGCAGCACCTACAGCTGCAGTTGCTGTACAGGAAATGGTTTCATTACACAACATTTTTTGGTATCACCTATGAAGTTACTGACCTGAAAAAAAAAATGCCTTTTTCTCCATACCTATCCATAAGTCACTAAAACCAGTTTGCTTTCAACCAGCAAAGCCAGCAATGCACCCATATCAGAATTTAGCTTACAGAGAACTTGGTTGTTTTCCTTTTAGATTCAGACTGAGTTCAACAAACACTCAGAATTTAGCCTCTATATTTTCACAGGCAGTCCCTATAGTGAACACACAAACACTCTCTCTCTCTCTCTCTCTCTCTCTCTCTCTCTCTCAATAGATATGATCACATGGCTTATTTTGGCCTAGGACGGTCTCACACCGGCTAGACAAGTGTCTATACATCTGGTCCCTGATTACCTTTAATATCTGCTGGATTTTAGTTTCTACTGAATGTGCTTGGAATTTCTTCAATGGCTCCATTCTATATGAATTAGCAAACTTTAATTTTGCCAGGGCACTCTTCCATTCTTTGCCTATATCAGCAATTGAGTCATCAAATGGAGGTTCCACATACTGAACATCATGAAAAGATTCTCTCAGTCTTTCTTTTAAGATCTGCGCATACTGAAAGAGGAAGGAGAAAGATTATATTTCAGATTTAAGAGTCAGCATTAGCGGAGGTAGAGCTAACAAACCTGAAATCTTTCGGGCAGATTTCTGTGCAGTCACTAATTCTTACACTATTAGCTGCCAACCTGGTGAAAGAGGAAGGAGTCTATGCTTTATGTTACCAAGTGTAATAGTTTCTGTTGTCAAGTTGAGACTAAATGACCAACTGAGAGACAGGCTTTTGGGCTTGCTTCTGGAGGATTACCTTGATTTAGGCAGCTAAAATGAGAAGAACTACTTGCTGTGGGGGTACCATTTCCTAGAAGGAGACAGTGAGTCCGGCATAATTAACCCCTGCTCTCTGCCTCTTGCAGGCAGGTTCAAGCCATCAGACATCTCAGACTCCTGTTGCAGGAATTC